AGAGGTAAGAAGGATGCTCTCTTCTGCTGCCACAAATCACCTGGGGACTGCCTTCTTGTTTTGGAGCATGAGGCTTTTTCCGTTTAAATGCTGAGGGATGACCAGATGTCTCTACTTGAAAATTGGGGGAGCTCCACCCTTTCTTCTTGAGCGTCCTCCCCTTTTCAAGAAAGAATGGAGGTCTCTTCTTGCCGAGGGGTAAACGGGGCCCTCTTCTTTTTTGTGAAGTTGGAGCGGCCTGTTTGCTATGTTGAGATGGCGCTTTCTTCTGCCGCCTTAGATTGCTCTTAGTCTCTTCTTGTCGAGGATGAGGCAGAGGATTTTTTTGGAAGCTAATTCAGAGGATGGGGTAGAGGGCTGCTCATGTCTTATTGAAGGCTAAGGGGAGGATCAGACTCTTCTTTTGAAGATTGAGACAGCTCAGTCCTCACTTCTTGAAAGCTATCTCTCTTCTATCCCTTGAGGAGGAAGAGGGGACGACAAGGAGCTCCTCTCTCTTCTTGTCGACTGAGAGGCAGCCGGAGTTCTTTTTTTCCCGTGAAGTTGGAAGGGTTCTCTGCTCATTTGAGATGCTGCGGTAGAGGATGTGCCAAGGGATCTCTTCCTTACCCTTTTGGGGAAAAGAAGCTCATTTCTTGCGGATGACGAAGCAGCGAGCTCCCTTCATTTATCGTCAGAGGAGATGGTGGGAGGAAGCTCTCAGTGATTTCTTGTGGAGGATGAGGTAGAAAATCTTTCTTTTTGGAAGCTAGGGGAGCTCTGTCCTTTCTTGCTAGGAGCGAGGTCTCCTCAATCTTCTTAAGACGAAAAGGCGACATACCAAGAGGTAAGAAGGATGCTCTCTTCTGTTGCCACAAATCACCTGGGGACTCCCTTCTTGTTTTGGGAGCATGAGGTCTTTTCCTTTTAAATGCTGAGGGATGACCAGATGTCTCTACTTGAAAATTGGGGGAGCTCCACCCTTTCTTCTTGAGCGTCCTCCCCTTTTCAAGAAAGAAAGGAGGTCTCTTCTTGCCGAGGGGTAAACGGAGCCCTCTTCTTTCTCGTGAAGTTGGAGCGGCCTGTTTGCTTTGTTGAGATGGCGCTTTCTTCTGCCCCTTTAGATTGCTCTTAGTCTCTTCTTGTCGAGGATGAGGCAGAGGATTTTTTTGGAAGCTAGTTCAGAGGATGGGGTAGAGGGCTGCTCATGTCTTATTGAAGGCTAGGGGGAGGATCAGACTCTTCTTGTGAAGATTGAGACCAAGCCGCCGAAGAGTCTGCCGGCGACTTCTCGCTCGAAGCGCTGGCCTGGAAGCCGCATATCGATCAGAACGATCGGCGGCCGCGTTGGCCTTAGCGCGGGCTCAGCCACGACATTTCAGCATCGCACACGAAACCCGGACAGCTCAGTCCTCACTTCTTGAAAGCTATCTCTCTTCTATCCCTTGAGGAAGAAGAGGGGACGACAAGGAGCTCCTCTCTCTTCTTGTCGACTGAGAGGCAGCCGGAGTTCTTTTTTTCCCGTAAGTTGGAAGGGTTCTCTGCTCCTTTGAGATGCTGCGGTAGAGGATGTGCCAAGGGACCTCTTCCTTACCCTTTTGGGGATAAGAAGCTCATTTCTTGCGGACTTGTGGATGACGAAGCAGCGAGCTCCCTTCATTTATCGTCAGAGGAGATGGAGACTTACAGGGAGGTAGAGGAGCTCGCTGCTAGGAATCAGCTGAATGATTTGGAGGGACTTTCTCCGTGTTTTCGTTGAGGGTTGGGGGGAATCTCCACCCTTTCTTGATCCGTCTGTCTACATTCCAAGGAGCCCCACCAATGTCGATGAGGCGAGACGAAAGATTCTATACTTGTATTGAGTATGTATAGAGAGACGTCGGTCCAGTACAATCGCGATATACCTACGTCTATAGTATGCAATGAAAACCCACAGTTTCAGCTGGCGACTATATCCTGTTTAAGCCGGCCACGGGGGTGGGGGACAGGGCGAGGGAGAAGGGGCAAGCAAGGCGTAAGGGAGTTGGGAGATCAATCTCGACACCCCACGGGATCAATGTACCATCGATGAGAAACATTGAAGTCGGGTTTCCAGACCGCACATGCAAACAACCCTTTGACACTTTTCAGACGCGCTTACAGCAGAACAAGTGGACGAATCATAGAGTTCCGGAACCTGCTTCAAGTAAAAAGGAAAAGGACATCCTAGCTGCAAAGGTTCGTCGGGCAGTCCCAGGCCTTCTTCGTCCTTCCCCTTTCCAATCCCAGAATCTACTCACTCTCACTAGGCAGCATCTGGCAAACGCTCCACAACAGGAATGCTTCCGAGGATTAGGGACCTATCCTATCCTAATGACGCCTTATCCGCCCACCTCGCTGAGCCGCGTCGCGACTCATCGTGCTCGAAGTCCAGCGGCGGGTAGCAGCGCAAACCAGAGGTATCGGGAAGCATCAGACCCTGTACACACCCTCGACCCTCAACAGATGCTGCCACTAATTACGTGCATTTGAACAGCTGCACGATCATGGCGTGCTGCAGAATGGCGACCATCGTGTAGGCACACGGGAAACCGTTTGACTCGAGCTCAGAGGAGCCGTGAGTGCCAAGTCCGGAGTTCGGACATAGTGAATAATATCGCTCAAAGGAGCCGTGTGGCTGGTCCTGGACGATCTTCTCGTGACCGGCCTCCAACATGTTGGTCCTCGTCGATGACTTTCCTGCTGCTCGCTTCTCGACGTGGATGTAGAGTGGAGCTGCTTATCGAATGCATGCAAGAAAACGTAGTACAAGTCTTAGTCCATGGACTTGAAACTAGACTTGCGAGGTTGTCGAAGCTTGCACAAGTGGAAATTTCCGACCTAGCACGCTACAACGAAGAGCCCGTACTGCTTAGACTGGTGCAGGGTCTTACAAATTTGCAAGCTCTCCTTCAAGTCCCCCCCCCCCTCCCCCCACGCCATTCCGGCCTCGGCGGTATCACTGGTTCGGAAAATCTGCAGCAAGACGCGTCGTCAGGTCGCCGACTCCTCAAGCGAACGTCGCAAGATGGTTACCACCCTGCACCCGGAGCTGTGAAGCACGGCTTCATCAGGACGGTCTGCAGCTACCTCGATTATGTTTTGTCGGCGTGACTCTCCCTCTGCAGCCTTGCGCCAGCGTACAGAAGCCGCCGCGAGCGGACGCAAAAAAAAAACAGACCTCCAGGAGTGCCGGGGGGGCAGTCGGCCTAGAAGATAAGCGAAGAAGCCAGTGGGGTCCACTGAACTCCGCAGAGTGCGTGAAGACTGAGTACCATGACTACTGTCATACTGCGAGCCTTCGGAAGGGAATCTCCAGGCTGCCAAATAAAGGTGGCCACACCCTGCATCAAATCATGCCCTAGGGTCGGAATACACCCCAACGAAGTTGGGCGGGAAACACCTCCTAAGGTGGCATCTGGCAAACGTGGCAAAGTCTTCTTGGAGAAGAAGGCTGAAATCTAACCTAGTCTGAACTTAAGCCGCCGTGAGCGGACGCAAACAAACCCAGACCTCCAGGAGTGCCGGGGGGGCGGTTGGCCTAGAAGATAAGCGAAGAAGCCAGTGGGGTCCATTGAACTCCACCGAGTGCGTGAAGACTGAGTAGCATGACTACTGTCATACTGCGAGCCTTCGGAAGGGAATCTCCAGGCTGCCAAACAAAGGTGGCCACACCCTGAATCAAATCATGGCCTAGGGTCGGAATACACCCCAACGAAGTTGGGCGGGAAACACCTCCTAAAGGTGGCATCTGGCAAACGTGGCAAAGTCTTCTTGGAGAAGAGGGCTGAAATCTAACCTAATCCGAACTTACCGGCCCACCTCGCGGAGGCGCGTCGCTGCTTGCGACAAGGATCGTCACATTCCAGAATCAACCCCAAGGGAAAGGAATTCGGGGACAACCCACTCGACATAACAGAAACACCTCTAGGTACGCCAGATGCCGCCAGTTACTTCACATGCGCAGGTTTGCCGGAGTCCACGTCGGGTAATCCACCAGCATCTCCTCGAGAAAGCTAAACTCACATCGGGCATTCCACGACCTTTCCGTCGACGAAGCGACCCACAGCGTGTCGACATCGAACGCAACAGCATCAGAGAGAATTCGCCACGTTTTGGCACATGCGGAACTCCTCGCCCGCAGCGGCAAAGCCGGATTCTCGAAGTAGAGCCAGGTGCACGCTGGCACATTCACGGGGAACTTTCCACTCAGAGCGGGAAATGCAGACTTTTCGACGCTGCTCGTCGTATGCTGCGTGAATCAACAGTGATGAAGATTCCTAGCTAAGTTGACACGGAGACAACCAAGAAAGACAACCGAAGCCATTCGCCAAGGAACCCTCAACCCGGATTAGAAAAGATACGGAGGAGCAATGCAGGGTTTCGGGTTCACAAACACTACATGAAAGCCGACCGCCCCGGCCTATAGATCATCAGGCTCAGCGACATGATGAAGTTTCTTAGCTAAGTCCATCGGGAGACAACGAAAAGGAAACAACCCAAGCCATTCGTCAATGATCCCTCAATTCGGACTAGAAAAGGCTTGGAAAGCGGGTTCAAGGTTTCGGGTGCGCAAAAACAAAGGGCCTGATAATCGACCGCCCCGGCCTCTAGATCAACAGGCTCAGCGGCACGGGAGAGACGGCCTGGTGAAGTGTTGCGAACAGCGAAATCAAGAGAGGGGAGCCAGAAACAAAATACGAAGCCAAGAAATCCAGTGCGCCCGGCGCACGGACTTCCCTGAAGGCAGTCCCTCCCGCCTCGACGGAAAATCGGCAGCCGAAGGCGTTCGGTCGGCCTAGCCGCGCAACTACAAAGAACGATAAGACACGAAGAGAGACGGAGACGGTACACCTTCGCACCGGACTCGCCAGAGAAGGCATGGCAGGATTCATTATTTGGACTTTTCACGAAAGACACGACCAAGATCGCGTCACAGAAAAATGGCGAAGGGGATTCGCAGTCATTCCACAGCGGAACGTGCTGCGTTTCCCTTGTGCCGACTAACGATGCCCTCGCAGGATGTCATCGAGGCCTACGTGACCAAAGACGCGAGCAACATACGATGCTTGGAAGCCGTCGCAATCGCGACGGTTCGCGTCAGCGGCTGCTTCCAAAAGACATCGCACGATCAGCCTGTTTCCATTGGCGCACGCCTGCATCAGTGCCGTCTCACCAGTGTAACAACGCATGTCCACCGCAGCATGGGCTCCAAGCAATTGCTGCACGAGCTCCCAGTCCCCGTACATTGTGGCGTACATCAAAGCAGTGTAACCATGCCGACCATCTCGTCGATCCGCATCCGCCCTACCTTCGAGCAGCGCGTGGAACACGTCCAAATGACCCGTGTCGCAAAGAGGCCTCGTGACAGAGATTTCAGGGAGCCGCTGCATTTCGAAGTGTTCCCCTGCCATCGGCCGCAAGCAAGACGTCTCCTGGCGACCTCTTCCGCATACCAACATCAACGAGCTCCGGCCGTCGCAGTCGACCGCGTGCACGTCGGCAGTGGCGACCAGCAATCGACGTGCGATGTCCACATGTCCCCTGGAGGAAGCGATCATTAGAGCAGTGAACCCTCGTGTGTTCCAGCAGTTGACATCCGCTCGCGCCCGAAGGAGATCGCCCACAATTTCCAGGCGACCCAGACCGGACGCGTGCATCAGCGCGGTCATCCCAGCATCTGTCCAAAGGTCCACTCTGGCATCGGCCTCCAATAACAGACGCACAATGAGAACTCGTTTCTTTCGCAGCAGCAATGATGAGGGACGTCGTGCCATGCTCATCCCATTGATCTATCCACGCACGCGCATCAAGAAGCAGGCCCGCAGTCTCGGTCGCGCCGTGGTAACAAGCCAGCATCAGCGCCGTCCGACAGCAGTATCTCTCGTGAATCCAGTGCAAGGGGGCTCGAGCTCGCAGCAGCTGGCGCGTGGCCTCGACCCGGTTCATCACCGCCGCGTCCAGAAGGTCTTCTGCCGCTTGAAGGCGCGTGCAGCCCAAATGCGACAGCTCGGACATGGTCAACTGTAAGAGCTGCAACTCCGTGTCTTCCTGAAGCGAAACGTCATCCGCCAGAACAATTAATTCCGTTTTGCAGCAGCACCTGCAGATACGGAGGGCAGCCGTATGCTCGAAACAAGTACAGCTTAAGCGCGTGGACGTCCGACGTCGATTGCTCCACTGCAAGCTCCCGCCCGGAAGCCGCCGCAGTCACGCGCGGCATGTTAGTGCACTGTTACACTCGTGAAACCGAAGGACCCGCCCGCTGCCGCCCACAGCGGGCAGTCAACGAAGCCAAGCTCACATACGAACCAATTGGTTCGTATGTGATAACTAGCGTTAACGCTAGTTATCCTGGCATGCCGAGCCATGTGCCGGAAACGACACGGCATGGACAATGCGGCACGGCATTCGTGCTCCTAAGAAAATGCCAGCATTCGAGCATTGTTTTCGTGTCCGCACAGCAGCTGCGAGAAAAGATGCAGTTGGGTGAAACTCAAGGACCCGGTCGTTGCCACCCACAGCGAGAAGTCAACGAACCAGGATCACAACCCAAGTGGCGCGAATCCTCAACTACATGGATGCACTCCTTGTCTCCCACAGCGAGAAATCAAGGACGCCGCCGTTGCCGACCCAAGCTCTGAAGGTTTGGTTGTCACCGACTTAATTCGTTCCAGCGCCGTGCTGAAGCAGCAACAAAGAAGTTTCCCTGTTGCCAAAGTACTGCGCCTTCGTCAGTGCGGAATCGCCACAATAATCTCGCACGTTCACACTTGCACGAGAGCACAGCAGCAGCCGCGCCGTTTCAAGGTCGCGCCTTTTTGAAGCGTGCATAAGCGGGGTCTGTCCAAGATCATCATAGCAGTCCAAGTAGGCGCCAGCGAGAAGCAAGGCATTCACGGTGTCCAGCCGAGCCAGGCCGTCCTCACTGTCTTCGCCCACAGCGAACATCAGAGGAGTGACGCCCGCACTGCTCCAAGAATTGACGTTCGCTTTCGCGGCCAGCAGCACACTCGCTATCCGAGCATGTGCGCAGCGACATGCTTGCATGAGCGGCATCAAATCTATGTGGTTCCACTGATTCACATCCGCTTGAAAACGAAGCAGCAACTCAACCAGTTCCAAGTGCCCCGAAGAGAGGACGCGCACTCCGAACATTCACGTCGCACTGCGCGACTAGCAAGCGGCGGACCAGCTTCTTGTGACCCGAGCAGGCAGCATCTAGGAAGTCCATGTTTGCCCGGTCGAGCACACGAAAGGCGGCGCCGGTGAGCATGCGCACACTGAGCTGCAGGTCATCGTTATCGCTTGGAGACGGCGAGGTATCGTTAACTTATCAAGCTAGAATCCAGGTTGGATAACTATCAAACAAGGATCAATCATGGTGTTAAACATATGGTCGTAACATGTGTGTAAGCTAGATAATATAGAGGGAAGTACATAATATGGGTCCGGATCAGCTTAAATCAGGAATACTTATCGGGTTAAATCTATGGTTGACTTTATGGTGTAATGTAAGATGAACGATAAGTAGGGTCAGGATCATCTAAAATCAGGATTAAGTATAGGGTTAAACCTATGGTAGGATTGATTGTGTGATCTGGAATGAACGAAAATTGGGGTCAGGATCATCTAAAATCGGGAATAAGTATAGGGTTAAACCTATGGTAGGATTGATTGTAAACTGTGGGATGAACGATACTTGGGGTCAGGATCATATAAAATCGGGAGTGCGGATAGGGTTAAATCTATGGTAGAATTGAGTCTGTATTGGGGAACATCGTCGTCAGCGCAATGGTTTTATTGAATATCATTTGATGAGTGTATCAATAATTATGTGAATTAGAGAGTTGGTGAGTTAGATCGAGATTGTACCGGTAGATCAAGATCATATCAAGTCGGCCCTAATCTATGGTGGGATTGAGTTTGGGTTGGTAACCAGTTTGAGTTTAATGTATTATATAGTCATACGCTTGTCGTTGTGGGTCATAGCTCCGTCTGGGGTCTAGGCTATTAGATTATTAGAATTAGGAGTAGTTAAGATTAGGCTTCATAGTTCAGTCCTACGTCGTAAGGGGCGGACTTGAAGCGTGGAGGGATTTTGCATTTAGCACCCTCGTTGAGTTAAGTGCGTGCTGGGCATTCCGGAGAGCACGCTGCCGCAAGATGCTCAGATCTGTGAGCTTTAAAGGGTAGGAGTGAAGATATGTTTCACTCGATGTATTGCCCTCGGACACCGGGCGACATATCGGATGACGACAGGCAGGGATGCGTCGGACATCTCCGTGAATGTTGTGATAGAAGACAGATTAGGTATTTTATGCCAGATTGAGCAACGTAGGTCACGATCTCGATCGCCGGTGCCCTCGTCTGTGGCGATCGAGATGACGGAGCCGGCTTGCTTCCAGTGGGCGTCATTGGGGCTTTCTGAGTTGGGGTTACCTGACAGTCTCTTGAAAGAGCCCCTCGAAGAGCCGATAGTCGCTTGATTATACCATGACCTGATCTTGAATTGGTCGTTTTTCAGATGGAAGTCAATTCACACTTTCCTTTAATATGTATGCGTCGTATGAGGTTCTCACTACAGCCTGTTCGTGCACGGGTGGCCCGACTCTCGCGCTGGAAGCGCTCGTCGGCGATGCTAACTTCCGAGAGCTGGCAGCAGCTGAGATTCACGTGACTTGCTCATAGAATTTGTTTCATGCTAGACAGCAGAGTGTTGGGATCGCGTATTTATGGCCCATGGCTTCGTAAGAGTGCCGAGGCTCCAACGAGACGATGGTTGTTGCAAAATACGAAGCCGGAGAAGTGTTACGGTGACATGAAAGGAATGAGGTCGCTTGCCTCATAAGGTTTTGTGCAATCAGTCGGAGTCAGTCGTCGTAGTGGGGTTTCTTATACGATATGTGATATGATATAAGATAAGATAATGCTCCCAAAGGTTGGGCGAACCCGGGCTGACAGCGCTTCCGCCGGTGATCCACGCCGAGCCTTTGCCAGATACTGGAGTGTGCAGCCCTAGGCCTAGGCCCTAGGTAATACGGATATGCAGCCAAGGACTACGTGAAAGAAGATCTGTACATCTGCGGCTTCGTCTGCAAGGCGTTTTCGCAGGACCTTTGGATCACACGCAGCATTCGTGCATCGCAGAATCACGGATATTCGGATGACGTAGCAACCGTACATTGTATAACTTATTATGAATGAATCATTGAATCATGTATCATGAATGAACCAATGAACTATTGCATTGCTTGTCAGGACTCCAACATCCGCTTCAGCCACCGGTCGATTCAGGATCTCTTCGCTGAGGATGGCCCCCAAGTTCCCCGGATGAACAGTGTAGCAGTGACGCTCCGATATCGGGTATTTATAATTCAGCCTGCAAAAAAAAAGATCATACTGTCATTTAACTGTATCCTGATACCATAAATAATGTTTGGTAAGTATTGCATCCTTCCGTTCTATGACCTGTGCGTTTTGTGGAAAGGCTGCGGAGATCACACCCTTCCTGGAGACGTCGAGACATATCCAGCGACGGCGCCCAAGGCCGGATCTCACGTAGATTCGAAGCTTATTCTGAGGTTGGTCGGATAAACATGTTCTTGACGTTCTGGAGTGAAAGCTGGTCACAACATGCCGTTGTCTTTGCTGTGCGCATGCAGTCGAGCTTGGAACAATATTGATGCGATTGTGCGTCTGGTGAGTTGGTCTTGATGCATTTCAAATTGCTAACCGTCGGACAGGTTCTTCATTCTCGAGAATGTGCAAGGATGTCTCAAGAAGGCGGGTTCCGTGAAGGAGGATGATGCCTTCAAGGCCTGCTGCTGGCGAGTGGAAGCAGGTTTCGATAGGTGCACCGTCAATGTCAGGGTATGGCTGCTCATCACCAGTGTCCGATAGCTTGAAGTGGATGTCGGAAGATTTCTGTGGTTGCTGTTCTTGAAGAGCCGATGTTGCTTCCGTTCGCAGATGTGGCCCCAGTTGATGTTCACGCCGGCTAGGGGTAGCTAGTGCGTGCAGTGTCAACAGCCATGTCTTTGATGTTTGCACCCCTGTTCTTGACGAAAGCGACGAGACCTGCAAGGGCCGCATCCGTTGGGCAAGCAGATTTTCAGCTAAACAAGATAGGTAGGGGCTAGTCAGAAGTCATCATGTGGTTGCAAGGTTCCAGTTCAAATTTTTGGCTGCTAACTCATAGCTTCACATCAAGTTGACACTGGTACTCTTTATTATCTCGGACCTTAGAACTTAGAACTAGTCAGTTTAATGTACTTAGTGTCTGGGTCCTGGGCAGCAGAGCAGCATATCATATCGGTTCTAGTTCTAGTCTAATTCTAAAGTTCTATGAGGTAGTTCCAAACTGGGATATGTCATTGAGGACGGCGCACCAGCACCGAGTTTGGCCAATGTTTCTCGTGGGCCCGTTCATGGAGCTTTCATTCAGCGTGGGTTGCAATCGAAGAAGCTTTTGGAAATGTCGGCATTAGCTGCAGCATCATCTGATGAGAAGCTGAGTTTGGTGCGAAATGTTTTCGGCGAGTTCCAGAAAGCAGCTGTGAAAGGCGGCCTACATATGTCCCAGAATCTGGTGTTGTATCCGGATGGTGCTGGGTCATTCAGTGGGTTTGATTTTTCCAGTGACATACATCGTGCTATGAGCAGACAGCAAGGCATTGGCATATACAGCCATGTAGTGGCAGTCAGAGACGCATTGCAAGGGTTCATCAAGGACGGGGCCTGCAAGCATGCGATTGCTTCCGGACGGTACTGCAGCATACTTTGTCTAGTACAATAATTTCATTGATGCCTTTGTAGACTGCGGCTTGTAACAGATCAACCCTAGTAATGAAAAAAAGATTCTTGGGGTCTTCTTATTATAGTCTATAATTTTCATGATTTATAATTTCATAAATATGAAATGAATAGTATCATACCGTATCATACCTGATCTGATAATTTGATATGACTCATATATTGCGCTTTGGGGTTTTTGAAATACCCCCGAAGGCTTAGGCGGTGTGGTTGGGCAAGATTTTGATAGGCTTGTGCCAAGGGGTTTGGGCATTTGGGCTAAGGAGGGAAGTTGTGCAAAGTTTAATGTTATGTTATATATTGTGTCGCCTGTGCAAGGTTACAGTCGTTTCGGATGACACGAATGTTTGGGTGAATAACCCCTCCAAGAAGCGTGCTATCAGCGAGACGGGGTGTGCTTCAGCATCAACGAAGATTGTGAAGGGCATCAAGCGTGTGCAAACACTTTTGGGCATTCTTCAAACACTGGTTATCAGACGGAGTGATTCGGATGGTGCTGCATCTATAGCTCATGTGCATGCTCCCTGCCAGCTGCTGCCACGTGCGAACGCATGGACGATCTTGAGCAGGCTTCGCAGGTGGTCTTTATATTCAGCAGTCGGCTGTGCCGAGCAATTCGGGGGGCATCAACTTTGGGAATTGTTTGAGACAGTTCCATTGAAATTGGTGCTACACTGCCACTTGGATCCAGTAATGTTAGTAAGGTAGTAAGTAGTAAGGTGCAATACAATGCACAAAAATCTGATGAAATCTGCCTGCTCATGACTCATAACTATAACTTATAACTTATAACTTATAACTTATAACTACTTATTATGACTCAAGTTAGTAGTTTGTTTGTTATTCCGATCCGAATTGCGATATGATATTCCGAGTGATTATGGGCCCATGCACTGACTTTTGTACTTTGTGCCTTTGGTCGGGAGCGGTCAACGCTAGGCAGGTAGGTAAAGTACAGTATACTCAGTGAAAAGCTAATTCGATAGTTCGTTGACTAGGTAAAAGTTAAGTTGTCGGAGCATATACGTTTCCAGATATCCGCAAAAGGTTAGGGTTTTGGGGTTTCGGTGGTTGGGTAGGGTTAGCTGTAGCTCAGTGGCAGAACAGTACAGTAATGCAGTAGATAGTAGATCAGTAAAATTAGGTCAAATCAGAACAGTCTGTCTTTAGCTACAATTGGTCTATATGGTATGGTGGTTGCAAACAACTTAGGTGGGGATGCTTTACCTGCCAACCACGTGGTTCAGGCAGCGGAACACTCGGAGTGGCATCATGGGCGTTTGCGACAGGATCGCAACGCTTGCACCACTTTGCAAACCGAGTGCAACTGCTTGCACCATCAGGCAGCTTTGTCATTGAAACCAGGATTGCTGAGTATCGTTGGGCTCTGCAGCGGCATGGTTCGTATGACACGTGCAATGCGTGCAACCAAATTCCAGGGATTGTTTGAGGATGGCCTGGATTTGCTATCTCGTTCCGTGGACAGACGGGTGGTCAGGGAGCTTCCGCAATCAATTCAGGCTGTCCAACAGAAACAGAAACTGTTGTTGGGTGTCGTGAGCTTTGGTCTGAGTGCAGAAGACCAGGATTTTGTCTTGAAGACTTTCAACGGACGGTGGGATGAGGAGGTCGACCAGACGGGACGATGGCAGCACTGGTGCTGCGGGTGTTGCCCGAGCCACGAGGCATGTGTCCATCGTTGCCGGGAAGCCTTGCGACTTCTCTTCGAGAAATTTCCTCAAGTGCCTCTCCTCTACCGGTGGAAGGGCTGGACTGAATGCCAGAACTACACGACGCGTGGAGTACTGATTCATAACTTCATGTCACTCTTGATCAGACGCTGTTGCAGCAAGCAAAGCCAAGAAACCGTTGACATGCAGGCAATGGATGAAGACGCTCCCGATTTGTCTTATTCTGCTCGACAGGAAATCCGAATGAGCAAGACTTTGGCACTTGTGACATCGCCAAACATTCGGGTAGCCAAGTGTGCATTCCATCCTCAGTTTTTTTGTTAAATACTGTATAGGTTGTATAGGCTATAGGCTGATATTTTGTATAAAGTATAGACTATCGACGACGAATTAATATAGTCGAACCATTGACTGCTGTACAAGCTCGAATGTAGGATTAGATGCTGAGGCAGATCTTGGCAAATCAATGCTGGTACACTGGCCTATCGCATCATTGATGGACTTCATTTCATATGTGGAAACTTGCCGTGACCGGTTGCAGATGCGGTCTCGTTCCCTTGCCCTCCCAGAGAGTGCTTGCACGTGCACAGAGCAAGACCTGTGCCAGATGAACTGGGCTTTGTTTTCTGGGCAGAAAGGTCTTGAGGCTGTCAAGGAGTTTACTACTGTGCTGCTTGCGCCTCCCAGTGATGACATTTACGAAGCGTGCAACATTACCTTTGCATCTGTTCTGCCTCATGTATTCCCCACCATGTGTGATACATGGAGGAGACTGTGGCTGCCTGCTCAGAAGCAGAAAACCCAATTGCTTGGGGTCGGTTTGATGACACGGGAACAAGCAACACGCTTCTTCAAAGATCTATCGAAACTGGACCTTTGTTGTGCGGGCGACCCTTTCGTGCGAGTCCGGGCCAAAGATAGCTGTGATTAGTTGGGAGTCGAGTTAATTCAAGTTCCAAGTTCAACAGTCTAATTTAATCATTTGTAGTTAAGCAATTAAGCTAAGTTACGTTACGTTACCATTGATTTGGGCCCCAGGTTGCTTTGCATGTTGCTGGGCAAGGTGACAATGCACAAGGAGTACAGCAGCTTGTGGATTTGCTCAGGGATGCATTGGTATTTATGCCGGCCTCTTCAGTGAATGTTGAGAAGCTTCACAGCAACACACAGCAGACTGCGACAGCGCATCGTGCTGGTAGATCAGAAAAGACCCTGCAGCTTCACACCTACGTCATGGCCACACGCTTGGAACATCAACGGATGAAGAAAGCTGCTGAAGACGAGACGTTAGGGGTTTCCAGAAGAAGGGCAGGTAGGTTGCTTGCCGGACGGGTGGTGGCACGGTCTATGCCTGGCAGCACATCAGCTCGCATCCGCGACGGTGCTGTGATTAAGAAGCCCAAAACGCCTTGGTGTCTTGGTTGTTCATTACTCGACTCTGTTGCTCGTCAGTTCTCGTCTTTGGAGAGTCTGTGCATGTGTTTGTTGAGCTAGGTTTGAATAAGACTATGACTCACTATGACTCTATGACTCTATGAGTCTAGTCTAAGTCTATGACTCTCTCGACTTTTGCCGGGTATCGCAATAGTTTGCGCTTGGGGTGATGAGGTCACTTTGTGGTTTGGCTTCGTCTTCGAAGGCGGCCAAGAAGACACGACGTGTCTCTGCCTTCAATGCGTTCCAGCAGGCGAAGATGAAAGGTAAATCGGTGCGTGTGGGTTCATCGGCATACAATGATCTGCTGCAGATGGTGAAGCTAGAGTGGAACGGGATGTCCGAGGAAAGTCGTGCACCTTACGCAGCACAGGCGCATACGCAGAACCTGGCCCGAGCAGTGGCGGCCAAACAAACCTTGAGGGATATCGAAAGCAAAAAAACCCCAGCTTCCGATGCGCTGTCGTCTGCGCAGCTCAAGCGCTTGGGGCAGAAACAACTGAATCAGTCGTTGCAAGCCCTGGCCACTCATCCAGTCTGGGACACTGGATTGGGGATCTCTGATCACAATGCTGCATTGAAGCCCAGCCTCGTTCAAGCTGTTGACCCTGACTCTACGGTGATGGAAGCCTTCGAGTATATGCCGGTTGCAGAGCCGAATCCAGCTGAGATGCCCCATATCTTCTGTAGCTGTGCAGAGTTGCATCCAGGTGTTTGCAAAAGCGAGACTGGTTTGTTTTCAGAAGTGGTGACCATGGTGCAGCAGTTCCAGCGTTGCTTGGAAGTGTACAAGATCCAGGGGGTAGCTCTTTTCCGAATACAGGTCCTGCCGAGCTCCTCGTCCTCTTCCTCTTCCACGGGGGGTATCCTGGAGCCGCTGTGGTTGCTGATGGGCTGTGTCAGCAAGCGACCGCTGTCGCATGTCATGGGAAGACTGGTTCCCCACAGGCATGTTGCAGGGGTCTTGACCCCGCTCGTTGACGACTCTTTGTGGCAGCTACAGACGCTTCATGGCATTCTACGTGAGATTGCCAAGAAGGTTCTCGCGGAGACATCATCATTGGGAAACTTGCGCATTGGTTGCCACTGTCACTCTTATGAAGCAGTGGGCTGTGATGAGGCACCGAATCACCTTCGGGCCGGTGCGGCTTTCGCTGTCTTTGAGCTTGGCCCCGGAGTGACTTTCGTTCCGAAGCCTGCACGACAGGCTGCGTCTTCAGTGCTACCATTTGGGATTTCCATGGATAAGGCATCTGGGAGGGGACGTGGACGTGGCCGCGGCCGCGGCCGTCAGTCCAAGGCTACGCCTTCTGCTGAACCTAGCAACAAGGTTGAGATGGAAGCAGCAGCCGAGCCAGAGGCACAAGAGGATTCTTGTCCTGAGGATGGCGAGCCTCCTGTAGCAGCTGCGGCTTCCTTTGCTTTTGAGAGAATGCAGAAGCATGACGCAAGGCCGCTTGCTATGGAATGCTTAGCAAGTGATCTTGAGCAGGAGGTGGCAGCTACAGCATGGTCAGTTGCCAATCAGATCCGTGACCTCGATGCGGAGGCTTCTGGAGAGTCGTCCAATGTGCATTTCGAGATTGCTCGGGCTCGCAGCCGTGACGCTGTTGTTGCTGATTCTCGTGATGGCGATGCTGAGCCCAGTGTTGGGGCTAGCTCAGCTTCAAACCCTGGCCAGATTCCCTTCAACACCAGACTTGGTGTGACAGGATGTAGCATTGTCCAGAGGCGCACAAACTGTTTCTTTTGCAAGCAGGGCATCAACAAAGGCGATTACCGCCTAGAATATGCATATGCCGCGAAGAAGCCGGCCCGGTCGTTGCATCCCGAATGTGTTTCTAGTACTGCTGCAGAGACTCTGGAAGGTTCCTTGCAATGGCTATCCACTCAGTTGGATGGCAGTGGCAGTGCAGAACTAGATGCCGAGAAGGCGTCGGTGTTGCAACATGTTCGTGACAGGATTCATCGATGCCAGCATCGTGGCGCTTGAATCACTTATGACTTGTTTGTGATGTTAGATTGAAATTCGGACATTGATTCACACTGAAGACAGGCTCAATATTTTCAACCGAGGGCAGAACGTAGGAGCCGAGTGTTCGAGTCCCCCGGATCTTCGTTGCATCTTCTGTGGTTGTGCTATGCTATAGATAGAGACGAGATAATCGCTCTGTAGTAGTAGTGATCTGCAAGTACATTGCCACGGAAATGCAACAATACTGCTATGTGATACTGTATACTGCGCTAGGAAGGCTGCTAGTTTTGTAACTTATGTAATACGAAATACGAAATGTGTAGTGTTATGTAGTTGTATAAGATGTGCTGTATGCTGTTATTTGCAGTTTATGTATTAATGCAACTACGCAACGTAACAGCAGAAGCAGAAGTGTTTCTGTGATTCCCACGCAGATCTTTCAAAAGCAGCTGTGCGAGCAGGGTGTACGTTTGTGCGTGAGATGAGTAGTCGGAGATCATATCAGGTCTGGGCTTGGGTGAGGGTTAGTTATAGTACAGTCGTTATAAATTATATCAGTTATTAGTTATTATTAAATTATTAGTTATTATTATTATTATCAGTTAAGTTATTATATCTTTATAGTTATAGGTTGCGGCTTATCGGTATTCCGCTATTCCGAATTCCTACATCATTACTTTATGTTCAAGTTACATGTTCAGTCTCAAAACGAAACAGATGCAGCGGGTCCGGTCCGGCGTGCAAGTTCTCTGCATGTTTCGTGGAGTCACATGGATGCCTCGTGACAGACCAGGAAAAGCCTGCAGTGCCACGTTGTTCTGCACGGTCCTCTGAGTTCTCTGTTCGGCTGACATTTTCTTGACACCGCTATGAACATGCTTGTGCGACAGGCCCCGATCGACTTCATTATGCGGGGAGTCCTGGCAGATGGAAGCAAGGTGGGACTGTCTTTGATTCCGGGCTATTCTCTGAGAGTCGTGATGCTGCGGTCGCATGGCCCAACTAAGCTCCGAAGCAGTGCAATATCATGTGTGGTGCATGTGAGTGCTGGTGCTGCGGTGCTACGTAATATTATGGCGGCAGTTTGGCTAATTCATGCTAGATTCAATTTGATATCCCAGGTCATCAATGTATGGATTGCCGCTCAACCGATGCCGGCTGTACTTCATTGGTGCCGAGATCTACGATCACGTCTATGACAGGCCAACCGGAAATGACGAAGCCACTTTGGATGCTTGGTCCTAACTCATAAATCATAACAAGTCCGTCAATAGTCAAGGGTCAGGAGTTACCAACCGTATGAGTAGGAGTCCCAGGAGAGTCATATGATCGGAAGAACGGCGGCAGAAGTATTTCGGATGCTTTCGGGGCTGGTGACTAGGGCACTGGGATTAAAGTTATGGTCAGTCAGTCGGTGAGTCAGTGAGTCAGACGTCAGTGACGTCAGCGTTATGGTCCAGCTATAGAGGCTATAGGCTAAGGCTATAGCCATAGCCATAGCCAGTTATATGATATTGCCCCTGGTCCTATGGTCTTATGGTTCATGACCAACCAATTCAATTCTGTATGTTATGTAGTTATGTTATGTATGCAGCTGCAGGAATGCAGCTAGGCTATACAGCTATGCAGGCTATGCAGTGCAGCAAAGCTTCAGCTCCTCGCAAAGCCGGCACATTGCACCCCCCCCTTATCCTGAAATTCATAAGTCCCAATACCCTAGAGTAGCCTAGATTGATCATACAGAATCATGCAGACACATGCTTTCTGCAGTGGTCCCAACCATAGCCGCATAGCAATGATATGATATTCGACCCGGACATGATGAATGTGTGTGGACCACAAGTCAATAAATCAGACGTCGTTAAGTTAAATCAATGATGCCCTGATATCAGGACATGGTGGTGCATATCCTCACCACCATTTTGCAGGACCCCTACCTTGGCCGGAGGCCAGATACGTGGCATATCTTGCAGTGGCTGCAAGAGCGCGAGACCAACTTTCCCCTGCAGGAGTTCCGGTATGTTGTCTGCTGTCTGTCACTCTAACTGTGTAACTGTCTAATTTACATCATCATGTACTTGTTTAACTTCTCCCAATACTGTGTACAACTTCAACTCTATGTCTAGGCTTAGCAGCTGAAGTTATTGCCGATTGCCGATGGAGATAACTTGATCAGCTTTCATTTTCATCGAGAAGATAGAACTGATAGAACAATCAAAGTTTAATGTTACTCCTGCTTTTTTTGATGCTGTGCATTTCTATTTTCTGAGTCCGTTTGACTCTTGAGTCAGAGCAAGCTTGACACGCGTTGGCAACCGTTGTCAAATAGTTGACAAGTTGTAGTTGCAACTGCAAAGCTTTTAATCTGGCTACAAGTCGATGGCAACACCCTGGCGGCATCAAACCTTGTCGTTGGGCTTTAAGTCTTGAAGGGGTTGGCAGTCTGGGTCTGGGTACAACGAGTCCGATTTTGCAGCATATTTTTCGTGCACTTATTTATTGGGTTTTAATTTCTAGTTTCTAACCTTTTATAATTTATAATGTATAGTCTAGTTCATACATTCATGGTTCAAACTACTGAATTAAACAGCGTTTAGAAGTTGTAAACAGCATAGTTCAAAAAGTTAGGTGTTCATGTCAGGTTAATGAAATGCGGTTGAATTTTGTAATCTGAGTGTGTGACTTCAGCGGTCATATCGACTTGACGGTAACATGAAACAAAGGAGCAACAGCTTTCAATGATCATTTCATTTCACTATCTTTCAGTGTTTCTGATGTAACCCATTCCAATGAATCCGATGTGTTCGGTCATTTTGTTTTACTAGTGTCGTATTGACGTAGTGGAGCCCGAGTTTAAGATCAAGTACTGCGTGTTTAAATGTTTTGGATTTTGAATCACCATTTCTGGAAACACAGACTTTAAATGTCAAAGTTACAAGTTAATACGTCGGCTTAGCCCATCTTAGCCCGCAGTTGCTTTTGGTAATGTAAGTGAATTAATTTAGATTGAGTTAAACTGTTAAACTAACTTAAATTAACTAATTTAATTTAAACTGATTTAAATAGGTTAATTTAAATTAGTTCAAATTTTAAAATAATTTGAATTGATTTAACATAATTCAAAAAAAAGAATTTATGATTTTCAAATTAGTCTAAACTAATTTCAATTTATATTAATTAAATTGATTTAATTTTTGAAGTTAATTTAAACCCATTTAAATTAAATGAATTTTAATCAGATTAATTAATTTAAATAATTTAATTTATGAAAATTAAATTGTATTAATTTAAATCTAGTTCAATTAATTAAGTTAAAAATATTTATATCAATTTTAACTTAATTACATTAAATTACACCTCCTTCCCCCCGCCCCTGCCCTCCCCTCCCCTGCCCTGCCTCGCCTGCCCTGCCTGCCCTGCCCTGCTGCTGCCCCCCCTGCCCAGCCTGGCCTTGCCCCCCCCCCCCGCCTGCCCTCCACCTTTACGAGACTCCTACGAGACTCCTACGAGACTCCTACGAGACTCCGACGAGACTCCTACGAGACCCCTACGAGACCCCTAGGAGGACTCCTACGAGACCCCTACGAGACCCCTACGAGACCCCTACGAGGACCCCTACGAGACCCCTACGAGACCCCTACCAGGACCCCTACGAGACCCCTACGAGACCCTTACGAGACTCCTACGAGACCCCTACGAGGCCCCTACGAGACCCTTACGAGGACCCCTACGAGACTCCTACGAGACTCCTACGAGACCCCTACGAGACTCCTACGAGACCCCTACGAGGCCAAGCAAACATGCTTGTAAGTTTAATACAATTCATATTAAGTTAATATTAATTATATTAAGGATCATATTAGAATTGCAGGTCAGAATGCTGGTCTTCGTAGGGGTCTCGTAGGGGTCTCGTAGGGGTCTCGTAGGAGTCTCGTAGGAGTCTCGTAGGAGTCTCGTAGGGGTCTCGTAGGGGTCCTCGTAGGGGTCTCGTAGGGGTCTCGTAGGGGTCCTCGTAGGGGTCTCGTAGGGGTCTCGTAGGGGTCTCGTAGGAGTCCTCCTAGGGGTCTCGTAGGGGTCTCGTAGGAGTCTCGTAGGAGTCTCGTAGGAGTCTCGTAGGAGTCTCGTAGGAGTCTCGTAGGGGTCTCGTAGGAGTCTCGTACAAGTCTCGTAGCGGTCTCGTAGGATTGCTCGTAGGGGTCTCGTAGGAGTCTCGTAGGAGTCTCGTAGGAGTCTCGTAGGAGTCTCGTAGGAGTCTCGCAGAGTCTTTCCTAGAGGTCGTGCACGGCCGTGTGTGTGGGGGGGGGGGGTCACGAAAATTTGGGTGAGGTGTGTTTGATTTAAATTCAATTATAGTTTCGAACTAGTTCAAGTCATCGAATCACTGCAGAGTTTGGATTCTTCAATGTACACATGATGATTCAATTTATATAATTTTCTAGCGGGTTTATTATTATTAAATTATATTATATATATTATTTAATTATTTATTCATTAGTTTTTTTTGATTGAAATGGTTTCGTTTAACTCACAATGATCATGATGTAACCCATTCATGTAATAGACAGTAGACAGTGGGTTTATTTGAGGCGAGTCATATGAGTCATATCATAATCATGAATCACGAATCATAATTTAGAATTCATACGTGTTGTCAAACCAGCAGTTAGGATTCAGGATCATTCGTTTAAACCGACTACATGATGCATTCCTCTGTTTGTTCGAAATTCGTCTTCACAAGTTATCACCATCGGCAGATTACGGCTGACTACGTCATTTGAAGTGGTCAATACAGTTAATCGGAGCTAAATCAGCGTAAGCAAAGTCCTTCAGCGGTGGATTAGTATTCTTTTATATTTTATAATTTATTATTTATAGACTATAAATAATAAATTAATTATAAATTACAAATAAAAGAATACTAATCCACCGCTGAATTTATAGTTGATGTTAGAGGGTTGGCCCTCGGTGCAGGCTGAATCACTAGACGATCATTGACCATGGAATTACAATACGTTAAACACTGTTACAGAGTGAACAAAAATAGACGCGGGTGGGGGGCGGGCGTGGGCAAATAGTAGTCAATCCCTTGACATCCGGATTCCAGTCGGGTCCTCACATTCGTACTTTTTACTAGTCTAGTCTCGTCGGCCTAGTATAGACAGTCTCATCATCAGCATCAGTTAAGTCATCAGGGGCTTGATGACCCATGGACAGAGTAAGACATCGTGACAAGGTTTGAATTAGGCTACATAGTTATAGCCTAGCTATAGGCCTAGGCCGCCTAGGCCGGATATCGACACATGGACCATAGACCCTAAATGGATGACGAGGCCACCTCCAAGATCGTAGACACTAGATGTAGCCTGATGTAGCCGCAGCGCATGTAGGTTTGTGCTTGGACTCCGGGTTAAGGGGTGTAGTCAAAGTCCTTGATTCTGGCTGATAAACGCAGGTTGTTCGAGCCCAGCTTGTGTGTAGTGTGACCTGTAGCTGTGGCTTCATCCGGGAGCCGGAGAGAAAATGACGTCCAGTGCCTATCAGGGAAAGTGTGATCAGTGCGAGCAAATGTTCGGGCAGTACGACCGCTTTTGCGTCGATGCTGAAGTGGAGTTGAAGCCCAGCCGCTTCAAGAAAGTCAATGGCGAGAAGGTGCCAGATGGCAACGAGTGCTTCCCATGCGAGGCCAGAACCGGATACCGGTAGGAAACACAAATAGAGAGAGATAGCCGAGATAGCCGATAGCTGATAGCGTTATTTAAAACGTTTATCATTTAACATTTATCTTATCTATCTATATCTATATCAGTGTAACATATCAGCACATTCTATCGTGTCAGGTTGTCATATTCGAATTAGGAATAAAGTTAGAGGCTGGAGGCTAGAGGTGCTAGAGGCTGGAAGCTGCGAGTTACAAAGTAGAGACTACTATTATAGACTATAGATAAAAAAGTATAGAGAGTTGTAGTTGTACTTTGTGGATGACTGTGCGACGATTGCAACATCAAGTTCAGTTTCCCACTGATCAATCACAAGTCAAGAGTCATCTCAGTCAAGTGACTTGTGCTGTGTGCTGCCAGAAAACGCGGTGCACGAAGTTCGGGCGGATCAAGTCCCAGGAGTTGAAGCGTCTACGATCTGAGATCCCAGCCGCTTGTTGCAACCAAGTCAGTCAGTCTCTGTATCGGGGTCCGGGGTACGTGCTACTTCAGTTTACTTCCGATTCCGACGCCATAATACATTGAGTCGGAGTTCAAGAGCAGGAGTTGGGAGTAGCAGGGCTCCTATATATCATATCATATAGCCTATACTTCTAGGGCGCTGTTGGAACCATCAGACAGTGAACGATAAATGCGATAGTCATCTTGCATCCTCTTAAATTATACAAATTATACTGATACTCATACAGGATTTGTCTGAAGGGTTCCATTATTTCGTGCTTTGGGGGCAAAGAGGAGGGTCGCCGGTTATTGTGGCGACGACCCAAGCGCCGTAACCTATTCTATGCATCCAACCTAGCCATATGGTGTAGTGGTTAGATTCTAGTGGTGAACAAGTTTCGTGTTTTTCACTTCTGGCTATTATATAAATTGAATGATACTAAGATGGTTCTGGTTCTGGTTCAGGCTCTAGGAGTCTAGGCTAGGAGTTAGATTAAGACTCCAGATGATAGATGAAAAGGCCTCGGGTTCCCAATTCTCCAGAGCCACAGGAAATCGAAGATAAGTTCAACGAGCACCGCACGGTGGCAGCCCTTCCGGGGGCACGAATGTCGACGGAGGGCTTCGATGTCAGGTGCTACCAGGAGCAAGATTCGCCCTCTGGTTGATGATAGTTTTCTCCTATAGCCTGTCTCATATAGCTTAGAACCTCTAGGCTGCAGGATTGTTATAGGCTATAGGCTAAAGGCATGCGGCATAGATCATAGGGCTGATCAGGTTCCAGAAACCAGTAGTTCCAGAGATAGCTTAAGGCTTCAATAATTATTAAGTTGAATAGAGACTGTTGTTACAGTTGTTGGGAGTTGATTAGGAAATTAGGAGGCTCTAGACTCTAGAGAGATACACAGTGACAGTGATACTATTCAGGTACGCCGACAAATTTGAGGAAGCCTGGTGGCTCCCATTGGACACGTTCATCAAGGAAGCCGGCGGCAACCCTCTGACGTTCAAGTCGCAAGACGCCAAAATCGCTTGGGTGCTTGCGGCCACCGAAGTGGAGAAGATCGTTTGGGACGACGGGAAACCGGGGGTCCTGCAGTACGAGCACAGCGACGGGCGCAAGAAGTTGCACATTGGGGTGCGGACGGGCACCAAGAAGCAGCAGGAGAGTTTATTCTAGTTCTATTTCAATGTATATTATTATTTATTATTCTATTTATATTAATTTATATTACTTTAATTTACTCTGATCACTCTGATGTGATATTCTGACCCAGATTCTAGACTCGATTCCAACATCTTATTTACAGTAATTTACTGTAGTTTCTAGTTTCTTATTAATAGCTTATGTGTTTCTTTTTGTGGTTGTGATGACGACAGCTGGCTACTAAGTTGGCTAGTTAGTTCCAGTTCCAGTCCAGTCCAAGTCAACTAGTCAGGGGCTGCCAGGGGGTAACGGTTTAAGTCGTCGTAGAGTCATTATATCATTATATCATATGGATTGCTTCGTATTTTGACAAGCTATGCTTCAGGTTCCGTGTAGGTTGTCACTGGTTGTTTCATTGTTTGGGGAACCTGCGTATGGCAGGAAGATGAGGATATGCAGGGAAACAGGAAAGCTTGTGAGCAGACCTTCGCCCAGTCAGTTGATGGTCATCGGGCCATGCTGCGTGGAGTGACTGACATTGCGACGAGCCGGCTCCGTGCTACGAGGTATCAGCAGCCGGAGGAAGTGCTGGATGTGGCGTCCGAAGCTCCCAGCATGGATGATTTTGGGGATGGACTGCAATGGGGCATCTTCGATTCTACGCCCGGGTCGTCTTCCGTGCCAGAGAGAGCGGTCCCGAAGGGAAAGCGGCCGCGGTTGGGTGGCAAGCCGGCAGGGTCGACTCCCAACCCTCCTTCTTCCCGGACGTCGTCCTTCGAGAGCGATCGACCAGCCGCCACTTCGGCTGCCGCGAACAGCATGCATGCTCCTCCCGAGCATCTGCAACTCCCCCGGGTGCTGAACAAGAAAGGCCAGGACACGATGAAGAAGGCACAGGATGCTTTTGCGAAGCACCAGGAATCGTTTAGCGACAGCAACATTTGGACGAACAGAACCCGCAGGAGGGTTCTTGAGTCTGCTATCAAGAGCCTCTCCGGTCTTGCGAATCAGTTGCTTGCTCTGAACTCGGACAGTGCAGAGACCTTGAGCCGGCAGATCACCGAATGGGCGGATCGGGCGGAAATCCGTTTCGATGCTTTGGCCAGGGTGCGGGCAATGACTTCGGATTACGTTGAGCCTGATGTTGTTCCCGAAGAGTCCTTGCAGCCCTTGAGAGAGCTCGGAGTGGCCATGCTTTCCAACGTGATCCTCTTCGTGGCCGGCGAGTGCTTGAAAGGGATGGATAAGGCCAGGAGTGCAGTAGATTGGTAGAAGAAAGCCAGGCTATGTTTGTTCTGACCTCCTATTATTATTAATCTATTATAAAATTATAATTATTATTATTTCAATTATTTCAAATTATTTCTGACTTGTTCTTATTTATATAATATTTATTTATTATATTCTACAAGTTCTAGTTCTAGATTCCTGACGGTATCCCGAGGTCCAACGCCCTACCATAATGATGTCACTGAGCTTGAAAACCAATGATAGGTGATGAATTGAGTGATGACTCTGGATGACATGGATGGTTCACCAGTAGAACAGTAAGGTTTCAAAGTCAATCAGATAAGGTTCGATAATTCGACATGATATGATTTTGTTGGCATGATGATATGATATGATTAAATAAAATAAAATAAAAATCAATATTAATAATTAATAATATTAATGCTACGGTGCTACGAGTATGATTCGGCTTTCACCCCGAAGGCCCGTATGTAACTTCTACGAATTTAGAGAAGCTGGGGACTCAAAGCGGAAGCCTCATGTGACACATGTACAGGAGGGCAAAGAAGCAGAGAGCTCTTCCGGGTTCTTTCGCCTTCTGAGTTGCCAGCACCGGGATGCAACCTACTTGAATGTCGGTATGATCTTCGCTGCTTCTGTGGAGCAGCAGTCGCAGCGCTTTGGGGATGGAACGAGCATGGCATCCGGAATCGCATCGAACCTGCAGTCCCAGATGCTTGCCTTGTGGCTGGACAAGGTGATGCGTCTGAAGAGCCAGGACAAGTTTCGAAATTTGGTTGTTCTGTGCCCTGGCTCGCTAGGCATAGCAAATAGTACTTTGTGGTTCGTCGTGTTGCTAGTGCTATTGACGTACCTTGCCATGACACCAGTGAGGTGACCAATCCCTCGCCTGGAGTTGTCAAGGCTCGCAGCGGATTGGAAGCCCCTCCAATCGGACGTGAATGGCAGTGGTACCATGCCCTACAGCAGCAGCGCCCGATTGGATGTTCAAGCGCTACGAATCATGGCAACCAAGGATTGGCAGCAGGCCACAGGGTGACGCATGACTGCCATACTAGGCGATCAAGTCTTCGGGTATAAGATAAGAGGCAGATTGAGAGTATAAAATCCGGGTCAGGCTTCGCCGCTGGATCTGTTCCATGCGAAGTCGATGGTGGACTTGCGGAGTCAGTTGTCAATGAGATTCCAAACGTTGCTGCGGTCGACAAACTGTGCGGGCAAGTCACATGTCTTAGACAGTTGTTGGCACACGGGTGGTTACTAGTTACTTGTTGTTTAGATTATTTAGTTTCGAAGTTGAACATTTGAAAGCAAATATAAAATAGATTAGTAATGTACGATGCATTGCTCTGCGACGCTGCGAGGTCTATGTGGGCGGCAGTGGAGCAAGCTAGCAAACGAGCCGTAACGGCAGGTGGTGTGGCCAGCGAAGTGCAGGCGGCTGTGGCTTCGCTACCAGAGGATGCCATCGCGAATGCCGCCCAGAACAACTCTGTGCTGCCACTTCTGAAGGAGGCCGCATCTGTTAGTTGCTAGTTGTTACTTGCCGAAGACGTAAGTTACAGCCTGAGTCTCAGTGTAAGTCTAAGTATGCAATATGTTTTAGAGATTTTGAGATGTGCCATGAGTCACATAATGTCCAGAACAATGAGAGGTCAGTGTTGGTTTGAATCTGAGTTAGGTAGTTATTGTCATTGTTATCAGTTATTTAAAACGTAATAAGTTATTAGTAGATACAGATACAGACCTTATGATTTTGGGAATAGTACTAGTAGTAGTTTAAACAGTCATTAGAAATTAGGACTCAGCTAAAGTTTGTATTCCGTTCCTTTCCTTGGGCTGTTGTGCTCACAATGCTATTGCTCCTGCTGCTGGAGCTCCTCGTGCCTGCCTGCTGCCGCTGTGTCCTGCTTGCTTGTCATTACTGCCAATTACTGCTCATACTGATCATACATGCTCATACACTCATACTCATACTCATACTCATACTGACTCATACTGCTGCTGTGGAGCTGATGCTGCCATGCCTTTGGCAGGATGTTCGGAAGGCTGTGGACCGTGCCATTGGGGCGCAGGAATCATTGAAAGCTTTGCCGCAGACCACTGACCTTGGGCCTGATGTGGTCGAGAAGCTGAACAGTGCGATGGGGTCCGTGGTGGCTTGGCACAGTATCTGTTGAACGTAGCCAGTGGTGTAGTCCAAAGTCAATGATGTAGGCTCGGTCTGGTCAGTCTAGTCCAATCTGGTGACGTTTAGTTCGTGTACCGAAAACCTAAACCCAACATATTTTATGATTGTTTACAGCTAGAAGGCTACAAGCTTCAGACTGAACTTCAAGCTGTAAGGGCTGTGGCTCACATATTAAAAAAAAGTAGTACAGTACAGCTATGACTCTAGACTCTATGACTATGCCTATAGCCTATTCGAAGGGGAACCCGTTGACTGGTTCAGGAAGCCGTGATCAAGAAGGACGGACGTGGAGCGATCCTTGCGGCTTGCAGCTGTCTGGAAGAGGATGGCTTTTGGTCAAAGCCGCTTCCTGAGAATGCTGCGGCCCTCCTTGGCGAGAAAATCGGTGTGCTGCTGAGGTGGCTGTCTGTTTTCCAGGCACAGGGTTGTTTCAAGCTTCCCGTGGCCGTGGTGTCATTTGTAACTTGTAAACTAAGTGTCACTATGACTATGACTCTAACTATAACTATAACTGTATGACACGAATTATAAATAGTTTAAGTCTGTAATCTAAAGTCACAATGTAATATTTTCATTTCAGATTTGGAATGGCAGGCGGTGTCCCCTTCCGATCGCTTGCTCCCTTGCGTCGCGGAGATGTTCCTGGATCTATGTCATGCGCAGGGTCAGGTGGCACAGACGGAGAAAAGACTCGGGCTTGACACATTGCCCGTTGGCATCAAAGCACTCAGCAAGCTGGATGGAAATCTCAAGATTGGGGACCTGGACCAGCAGGTGCACCTGTACTCAGCGCCAGGTGGGGCCACAGACCAGTGGATTACACGCACGTCATTACCTAGCATTTACGATTTGTGCGCCGATGTTTTATTGGTTTAGTTTAGTTTCGGTGATTTGTTCCATTCTATAGTCACACTACGACTTGACTTGACGATTCGATTGGGAGGCCGGGATACCTCGACCGACGATGACATCACTCGCGGGCTGATTGCTAGTGGCGTCAAGCTGCTGGCAATCGTGCGTGGTGACCCCCGGACCGACTTGCAAGTTGGATGGTTCAAGACCTTGGTGCGCATGGGCAAGAAGATGGAGCTGGACTCGCTGGACGCCTCCGTGCTATCGCTCCTCGACCAGAAGGCAGGTGACTTCTGGCGGTCCGTGCAAGCCTTGACCGAGGCAGATGAGGGATGTAAGGAGAACGACACGATCCTGGTGGACAAGACCACCGTGAAGAACCTGATGCTGGTTCTCGTGCAGGTGCATTCGATCAACCAGCAGGAGATGATCACATTGGGCTTCAAGGATGTCGGCAAGACTTTGAATGCCGCCCGCACCCGGACCGTCCTCACCCTAGCCAGGCTACATGATGCTATGGAGAATCACAAGAAATTGCTGAGCAAGGATTACGAGGAGTTCAAGGGCATCGTGGCTGCCATGAACAATGCGGCGGACGCCGAAGTTCGGACGCTGCTCACGAATCTTTCTATGCGAGGTGAAGAGGAAGCCCAGACCACAGTGCAGGCAATGGTGACAGGCTCGCATTCGGTAACGGTAGGGTCTGTTACTTCACGCAGAGAATAAATATTTAAATAACAAGTAGTTAATTAAGTACAGTCAGTCGTGGTTTTAATATCATCTAATTTAATTTAATTAACATAACATAACATGATATTTGCGAACAGGTGCCAAAGTTCTTCGCGAGTTCGAGGAAACGGTTGATCTTGTGGGCTCGTGGTCCACAGAAGAGGTCTTTAAGACTGACGATCTGGCAACCATCTTTGAGCGGCTGAAGAGCTCCAGTGCGGCGGCTCCATCGTCGGCGACGTTGTGCCCGGTGATCGCTTGCATCATGGGTTCGGAGTTGATGTATAACCCTGAGGCTTTGAAGGCAGACACCCACCATCAGATCACCAAGTTCTTGCAGTATTGCCATGCAACCCTCAAGATTGGCAAGAAGGATTTGCCCAAGTTCATGGTTGAGAAGTTGGAGAAGATGCAGAAGGATCGTATGATCGTATCGCTAACCCCATAGATCTTCCATTGCAATTCCAATAATCTTCGAATTGCGCCCTGACCCGCCGTAAGCTTTATGGATACGGCGTATTGGCATTGGTTAATTCGTAACACTTAGACTTAGACTTAGACTGTTTAGACTGTGTAGAATTTACATATTGTTTTAGGCTGCTTAGGCTCACATTTAATGCCTGAGTCATGATATGATTCAGTTATGTAACGTAGTTATGTTATGTTAGTTACTTATGTTATGTAATGTTAGGCTACAATTCTCTCAGTTCTCTCATACATAGTTTGCATAATTAGATGCCCTGGCATTCTAGGGTGCATCCATCCCAAGTCCATCCTAGACCTCACTTCTGCGAAGGACTCCAAGAATATGGTGCAGATGCAGATGCCGCCGCCGCCCTCCCCGGCAAACTCGCGCATTTCCAAGAAGCGTCCTCACCCGGACGGGGGCAAGAAGTAGTTTTCTGGTGGCCAGAACGGGCCGCGCTAGGGATTTGGAATGCCGTGCGTATCCCGACCATTGATTGTAGACCGAGAACTACAGTTTAGATTTAGAGCTTTGAAGTCAGATGCCAGGCAGTCAGGTAGTTGATATTGATATTTGATATTTGGACTTTGGGATTAGGATTTGGACCACCTTTGTAGGATTCCTATACTGATGTACTTAACTTAAGTTGAAGTTTAGGTTTCAATCCACTCCCATGGTCAGGATCGCTTCTATACGGCTGTGATAGTCTCTAGCACACCACGGCAGATTGTTTGCCAGCTGTGCCACCGAGGACGGCCTAGACCGATTTGTCATGTCTACTATTGACTGAGATTACTAGGGTACTATGATTCTATGATAGATAGTGGTATCGATCACGATATCCGTCGATGTTCTGCAGATGCATGGCATTTGCAGTAGGTCTAGATTCTAGAGTCGATATTCTGTATACTGTATACTGTATACTTGTACAATTTAAGACCTGAGTTTTCACGACTCAAATTGATAACATACTAGACCAGACTAGACTAGATGCATAGAATTCCGGAGTGATAGACATTCGAAACACTCCCGAGCCAGAGCCAACACCATGAACAAGCGGTGATCTGATATGATATGATTGATAGGATTACCAAAGGTGCCGGGCTTTTCTCGTACAAGCGCTCTGTCACCGAGAAGGTGTATAGAGCTTGTTTTCGCTCAGCCAGCGCCGGTAACTTATGTTACAAATTGCTGTTGGTTGCATGCTAATGCGACCCACCGCATTTCCTACAGATGCATCATTGGTGTCTTTGGCCTTGTGCACTGCTAACTCAGCAGTTGTGGGAGTCATTGTCGTGACTCCTGTAATTCAGTAATTGTGGCTAAGCTTTCGAATGTCTGCATGTGCGTGTACTTTACTTTCCACGACCTCTTGTGGCTGGCAGCACACAGAACAGGCTGCATGCCATGATGACGGCAGAAACTGAGCTGTCGTTCGCGACAGCAAATCGTGCAGCGATGAGTCCAGAAAACAAGATCTCGGTCGAGTTTAATATGCGGTAATATGATATGCGTGTGTTGGTCCCATGCATGTGACTTACTATGGTCAGCGGTTGGGTATGATTCAGTGAGGAGCCCCCCGCGACGGCTCAACGGCGAGCCTCTTCCATGCTGCATTCTCTGCACAGCAAGCTAGTCGAGATGCAGAAGAATCCTATGTTGCAGCATCTGTCAGATAGTGAGATTTGGGAGTACCTGGGTCAAGAAAAAAAAGATTCTGGCTTCATTTGTGATTTCAGTGATTTCTGCTTGATAGGATATGGGCAGTCAGCAGGGCAGGGAATCGGATATCGCTTGAGAGCAGCGGCCCTACGTTCGTGATGTTTTGTTTTCATCCGAGGCATGTTCACACAGCCAAGAGATGCATGGGGCCGGAGGTGTGGGAGCGTTTGGTATCCGCTCGCCAGGAGATTACTTTGACTTTGATCTACTGGCAAGTCAAGATCAGTGAGCTTGATACAGACAATGTGTATGTTGATCTGGCAAAGTCGTATGAACGGGCAGCCTGGAGAGCGGATGGATTTCTTCCGGCGCCCCCGAGAAGCAATAGCTCTTGCGCTTGGAAGCCGTGGCATTTGATCTTGTGGCATTTGATGTGGATGTTCTATTTGGTGAACTGAGGTTGACGACAAACAGTCGTATCTACAGCTTCCGGCTGAAACGATACCTGCATGGGTATGAGCTCATGGGTTTGCGCCTCTACGAATATATTCATAAACTCATAGATCATAGATCGTAGATCCGGTATTGCCAAAGGACTCACGTCGTAAAGTTTTGCCAGTACGCCTTGTATTTGAGGCAGGGGTTCAATGTGGAGCAGTTGAACTTTGCCGGGATGATCAAGACTCCCCTCTGGTCCATGCTTGCAGGCGACATCATTAGCAATTCATCGTGCTCGTGGGAGCGTCATGCTTGCGTAACACAGCATAGGATGAACGGAAGAACTAACTTACTTATTGGCTTTGTCGTTAAGCTTCGTGCAGCGTGCAGGCAACTGTATGTCCATGCCGGTGATTGGCAGTGCAATGATGGCGGTCGCTCGGAATGGCTTTGATTCGATTGAGGCTCAATGCAGGGTTCAATCAAATTCAATGCTCATTCCATTTCCGATACCCGCTGTTTGATTTCCATATACTGTAAAGCTAAGATTAAGACTGCAGCGTTACATATGCGTCATATGTCATATGCGTATCATATCCTGTATTCTGAACTTATTGCGAATTTCAACCTACCGCCAAGGTGTTGCTTTACGGAAACTTCGGCAGAAGTCGTGCTCATTTCCGACAGGGCAAGGTGCCGACCCCAACGTCGCAAGCTACGACATTGGATCAGATATGCCATGATGAAGTCTCCGACGGCACTTCGTCGGCTGAGAGTGTGGATCCAGAGGATGGCGGTGAGGTTTGAGTCTGCAAGCTGCAAGCTCAAGACAAGTTTTGTGGAAGCCCGCAAGCGTGAAAAGACATCGCTGTTTCAACAGATTGACTGAAGTGGTTGCTCATCAATTGAGGATGAGTCCAGGAATACCGGTATACGGATCTTTGTCTGTACTTGTAGCTTTCGCTAGCCAGTTGACAGCTGATTCTTCAGATTCTTGATTCATTGACCTATCGGTAAACCTACTTTGTTGTCAACTTACGACAAAACCCAGAACATCACCAAGTATTATACCACTACTTTTGCCTTGCATAGCGGCTTGTATTGCTACACATGTTGTCAGTCAAAGCCAGCTGACAACCAATCATCTTACCATGAGTTTTACTCTACTTGTTTATATACCAATCTTCTAGTAGTCAAATCCAACCCACCTCCAGACCATGGAGTCTGCCATGCTGTTTGCCGCCCTGTTCGCTGTAGTGTTAACGATACCAGGCCCATACCAAGTTATCGCACAATGAGGAAGATGGCCGCAGAATCTCGTCCCCCCTGAGCAATCGCTGCAGGTAAGGAGGAAAACCCTGGTCTGCCTGGAGTCTTTGCATGAGTTCGCAGACTGTGTCTACACACCAGCCAGTCTGTCCAGAGAAATTTTCTCCCGCAATGCCCCAGACGTGAACCAGCGGCATGCAAAGAAAAAAATAAGGAGCAGCAGGAAAAGCGAGGAGAGCGTGCGGCCGTCTGCTGCGAGCCAGACTGCGACCAAGCACAGCATGCTTGTAACAAGAGTGAATGAAATGCAAAGACAGAAGCAAACCCGAAGAATGACAAGATAAGCGAAGCACGCAGAGAAAGTCTCTCACAATTCCGAGTCTCCAGAGCCTACAAGATTCACGTCGATCAACCGCCCTGGCCTCCACGGAGAGCGCCACCGCGTGTGCATGTTGCAGCGCAAGCGCCACCGCGTGTGCATCCTTTCCTTCGGAAATGCCAGGGGCGAATCGAACCAGGAGTAGAAAAAAGATGGAAGGCTTGGGTTACTAAACACGGCTCAAATGCGAGGGGCCAGTGTGTAGACTAGACACGCATAGCATAGAGTTCTGGAAGCCCACATCGAGATGATGGCCGCGGATGCAAGCACAAAACGGAGTCTCGAGTCCTCACTAACAGCTCTCCGAAAAAAAAACTGTAGGGCTTACAGTTGGGATAAACCACTAAGGGTCCGAGGTGGCATTCCGAAAGCGGCACCTGGCAAACGCTCCAATGATTCCTTCATGGGGAGATTTCAAAGATCGAGGGGGGCTAGTCTAGTACGTCTTAGCTAAATTACGGATGCACCTCGCGGCAGCACGCGGCGGTTGGCGCCAGCGAAGCGAGGCGAAGGAAGGGCCGATCGGGAAAACAACCCTGCTGAAAACCAGGAAAGACCCTTTTAAACATCCAGATGCCGCCGCTTATGCAAGAAGTCACAAGATCCAACGTGCCAGTCGTTGGCTGAAGCTGCCGCGATTCTCTGCATGCAGCAAGCGTTTGAGAGGCCTGAGTGTCTGCAGCCGGCTGTGGCCACCATCTCAAGGCTCACACGCTACATGCTTTCCCGATCTCAGTTTCTCGTCGCTTGAACTCGAACTGGACCGGTTCTTGCTCTCTTGTTTTGGCTTATTGTCGCGTGAGCTGGAGCCGAACCCGAAGTTCCGGCTCTTCGGCCAGGGTGAACGCCGACTATTGAGACGGCGAGGTCGTGCAACGTCGGGTCCTTGTAGTGGTGCTCACGCTGCTGTGCCAGGCCAGGCGGGAGCGCCCGTCGAACGGACAGGTCACGCTCGAGAGACTGGCATCGGCAAGACTGCAAAGGCATGAGCGCCGAGCGTCGGGCTGAGTCACGCTCGACAGACTGGAATCGCCAAGACTGCACGGAGAATGTCCTTGCTCCTCCGCGTTATGGAACCGGCCCGAATGCCCTGCGACAATAAGTTCTCTAGCGGAGATACTTAGATGTACAGCACTACAAACAAAGAAGCAATAGTATCCCTGACGGAAGCTCCACAATTCCCCGTCACCTAGCACAGCTTCCGCACTCCTTCAAGTCCACAAGAAGTCGCTAACATAGAACTATTCAAGGAGCACACCAGAATCGTCAATCCCCCAGCACACTTCCGGAAAATCACCCATGAGACGATTGGAATCGGTTTAGCTAGCGTGTGGGTGCGGAATTTGGCAACGTCCACACTGCTTCTTCCCGGCCGACCGCCCCGGCCTCGAGGAACCATACCAAGTGAGCATCCTCAGGGCGACCGCCTACGTCGAGGAGCAGCTGACCTGGAAAGATGTCGGGGGAGCTTCGACCGAGGACGCCTACCGAGCCTCGGAAACCTTGTGCATCATTGTCGCCACTAGCTGCATAACTGCCGCATGCAACATCTCCAGGCTCTTGTAAGAAGCCAACCAGGCAATGCAACATATGCGACGAGCGGTCACCCACACCGAGTAATCCGCTATAGACCATACAACACTCTATCGCAACGAACGTTGAACGAGTGCATCAATTACATTAGACAGACATCGCAAACGGGACGACGTACATCGACGACATCCAGTAATAGAGAAGAGAAAACGAAACCCCACTCAAGGCGACATCTGCAACATAATCCGAACCCACCTCGTTTTTTTGGTTCGTGGAATTGTTCGGAGTGGAAAATTATCCTAGGGGCCAAACCCGCTACGGACCAGCCTCGCCGGCAGCGACGCGCCAGGGATCGCCGAGGAAGGAACGGGAACGGGACTGACTAAACCGCTTTTTGGTTCGTTCCTGTTCGAGGACCAGAAACGTCCAAATTCCTAGCAGATGTCGCCCATCATCGTGAACCGTCAGTTGTCTCTTTGCGATCAGCTTCAGATAGCTGGGGACGGTCACGATCAGCTGCAGATAGCTGGGGACAGTCAGAAGACCGGCACATGACGTTCAGACACACGTCGAAGTGACCGAGCTCCGGGTCGACGGACGCATTCCATTTGAAAGGCATGTCCGTGGGAAACGAGCAGGTCACGCGGAGCATCGCGAAAGATGGCTCGCGGCCTTTCCCAGTTACATGTCCTGCACTTCTGCTCGACAGACTCTTTCTCCACCAGCGTCCGCATCTCCACAGGTTACGCGGGGCATCGCGCAAGATCCCTCACAGTCTTTCCAGACTGAAGTACACCGTCCCGCGTCATCGCTTGCCCGCTGTGGGCGACTTCAATTCGCCTATATGAACAGAAAGAATACCCAATAAGGCATCGAATCAAAAACAAGCGCCCTCCGAATATCTATGCGCTTATAATGAACAGAAAAAGAACGGAGCCTCGAGAATAGTATCATTCCAAAGAAGGACCCTCCGAACCCCCGATCTCTCATACTGCGTCTTTGTACGAATCAAGGCACGAACCAGCATCCCGATGCCAAACTCTGAAGTCACTATCAATACAAGCTTGCCTCCCTGATTTTTCCGTGACCACCTTCCCACTGAAACAAAGACAAAGTTCAAGTCGCGGAAGCCACAAAATCCCAACGCCGGATCTTAAGAAAATACCGCGTTCTTCGTGGTAGGGTTCCAGGGGTCCGTCCGCGATCAAGCTCCCCGGCCTCCCCGGCGCGAGCCGCCAGAACACAGGCAGACGGCAGCAGCCTGCGAAGATGTCGGGAGGAGAAGCACCCAGGGGGGGAGGGGGAGGGGGGGTCTTTCGGGCCTTTCGCACCTCGCGCAGGACTGTTGCCTGTCCTAGCTGCATACCACTGCACCGAGAGTCTTCGGAGGCCGCACCAATGAAAGGAACCAGTGCAAAGAAGCATCCAATCCGCGACCTGCACACCCTGCAAAAATTAAAAGACGGAAGACCAGAACAGCAAAGAGCCTCGAAAGTCTTCCTACGAGACACCCACTTATAGGATTCGAGAGGATCGGGACGTGCAAAACTCCTAGGCGGCATCCAGCTAAGACAACCCGGACATTTGAAATGAGGAGCTCTTACTTGTTTCGAGATCTGGGGCTAGCTTACCCGTCCTCAATCCAATACGACCCAACCTCGCGGATGCCCGGAACAGCGCGACTCCCGCCGCCGGCGGGAAAACAAGGAGGAGGGCTACACAACTCGGTGGCTCTTCTTCTAATGGATGCCGCCCCTAGATTCCTTGTAATCCTAATCTTACGGTACGCCCGAGGAGGTATCGGAGACGTCCAGAAGCTCACGGCGATGGCAGAACTTCGCAGCATCAATGCCAGACACGGAACTGGGCAAACCACGGCCGCCGCTTCTTGTTTTGCACATTGTGCAGGATGCAACGAGAGAGTTGCACTGCAGACACGCCAGCCACTGCGCGCGTGGGAGAATCGTCGTGTCGAGCTAGCGGCAAGCTTCGCAAGAAACAGGCCATGGCATTGTACTCCGGGTTATTGACCGTGCCCCGCAAGGGGTTCGTGCGATTCTGAAGCCAGTGTCGCCGTCCAGATGACAGTCTCTGTTGTGCCGGGCCGCAGCACACAGTGTCGCCAGTCGAAACTCCAGCACGCCAAGCGCCTGGAACTCACCCAAAGGAACATAACCCAGAATTCCAATCTGATGACGACCGCAAACCATGTCAACCCGAGCATCACCGCGCAACATCCCTGGAGAGTTCATGCCGCCGAAGCCCGCCTGGACTCTTCAACGCGTCAACATACCGCCGAAGCCCGCCTGCACCCTCCAATGCATGGAGCCGGAAAAGACAACTCATGCAAAAAAAAACATAACCCAGAACCCCAATCGGATGACGACGGCAAACCATGTCAACCCGAGCATCACCGCGCAACATCCCTGGAGAGTTCATGACGCCGAAGCCCTGAACCCTAAGCCCTCCAATGCATCTAGCCCTGAAAGACAACTCACGCAAAGGAGCGTACCTCAGTCTCCCAATCGAATGATCACCGTACAGAACATGAAACCACCGAATCGACACGAACCTCAGCCAGAACCCCTTCCAAGAAGGCTCTCAGCATGAAATTCTAAGGGTCCAGGCGATGAAAAAGTCTTGCATCTAGGAGACTATCCCTGGATGAACTCTCCCGACCTCCGCGTCGGCAGCTAAAGGGCGAGCCAGCCCGGAAGCTCGGCAAGAGCAGGAAGAACACCAACTCGCGGGGACGCCAGACGGGGCGCGGCAGTTGAAAGCAACACAACCTTGCACTGAACAGGCACCTTTTCGAATGCGACCAGCGCAGCTGCGACGAAAACAGCACGGTGTCTACCGGGAAACCCACAGCGGGTCCGCAAGATGGCACCAAGCCCACAGGAGTCTATATACAGAAATACAAGGAGCTGAACCTACCCCTCAGCTGCGCCAGCGGCCGTGTTCCCACTGCCACTTCCGGCTCGCTTTCGGATGTGACTTGGTCAATATGGGAGAAGGCATGGAACCCGCGAGCACATTGATGTCGGAGGCTGGAATCTTGTTGCCCTTGCTCGGCACAGCGAGAAGACTGTGTTCTTCGGAACGAGTCAACGACCTCGAGACGGGCTCTTGCGCCCCAGGTTTCAACTCGGCCGCGAGAGGTGTCGCATCGCTCGCAACCTCCGCTGTTCGTTGCTGTTCTTCCAGGTCGTCAGCGGCTTCATCGTCTTCCGTGCCGTCGCGTCCGGTAGTCGTGGTTACTTCCTCCTCGTCTTCTCCTTCGTTTTTTTCATCTTCGCTGTTTGCGAGATTCCCTAGAATTTCTAGTAGGACAGCCACGTCCACCTTGATCCTCAAGTTCAAATCCACCGTCGCCGCTGGTCGACCGCTGCTGGGATCTATCATGGCACTCACCACCGGAGCGCTGGGAGAGGAGAGGGACAAAGCCATCGATTCCAGCCACGTCTCCGAGAGCTTCGCGCGGGCTAGCCGCCGAAACTGAAACACGTGCTTCAGCCGGAAACATACGGCGGTAGCCGTTGCACGATAGCTACACAAGGAACCACACGATGCCCACTGCAAACAATGCGGAACCCTGGCTTTAACGTTTTCACGCGAAACTCAGCACATACCACGGGCCATGCTATCTTCCAGGTTGCACATCGGTATTCGACCCAGGCAGTCGCAAGGCAGTGCCCCCGACACCGAATTAAGTGAAAAGCATGTACAAGACAAGTATACTCCGATGGACCAAAGGCATCTGCCGAGGTCCTGTCCAGAAATTGCAGAAGAGCTGGAAACTACGCTCCGGTCGCCCAGACCACATCGGACGAAGGCACGTCCAGAAGTTCCAGCAGCGTTCGAAATTGTTGTTTTGCAAAATACAGCTGAAACTCCCAGTCCCTCTTGGAAACGTTTTGCTCAGTATCAGGTAGAATCTCTCGCAGCAAATCAGCCACCTCAACGCCAAATATCTCGACCGCTTGCTTCATCTTGCCGGCACACAGCCTCCTCCTCTTCCGCAGCTGGTTGGGAGTGACGCCCCGAAACACAAAGGGCGCCGCGTTCATCCAACGGTCAAAGAAACCGAAAGCAGGTTTGGTTCGAGCCGAACTCGGAACATGATGGCAGCAACCAATTTCTAAACTCCGGACCCAGCTCCTGACAGCCGCAATTCGCCGGTCCCAGAACATGCTGTTTTCAGGAATCCACTATGCAACTCTCGAGGCTCTATCGGAATCCTCACGGATTGCTACCCACAGCGGGAAGACAACGCGGATCCGCAATCGGCGCCTCGGCCTCGACACCGAGCGAAGCCCGAAACAGTGAAACAACGCGTTCCCACCCACAGCGGGAAGACAAAGCGACTCCGCCCTCAGCGAATCTCTCTGCACAGGAACAGCAAAGGACCAGGACAACAGAGTGAAAAGGACAACAGAGTGAAAACTAGTTTCGTCCACGGACCATGACCGCATCCCGCAGCTCGACCTGGAAATCGGCCAGTGCTTCAATCATATACTCGCGATTGCGAAAGGGCGCATAATACGCTCGGCAAGCCATCCAGCGAGTCATCACCTGCTCAAAGCCCTCGCCAGCCAAACCCATGAGCAGCACACAACAGGCGGCACAAGTTCGATTCACGCCTCCATAACAATGCAAAAAGATGCGAAGCTCTCGGCCGGAAGCGTCAGAAGCCCGTTCCCGAAGCAGCCGCAGCGCCACAAGGAGAGGCTCCGAAACGAGGCCGCGACACGTCTCCGAGAGACTTCCCGTCCCCGACGCTGTCCAAACCTCCAAGATTCGACATACGTCGCACAGCAACTGTCTCCACACGGCCTTGAATTCCTGCGTTCTCAACGCGACGGCCTCGCTGTCCGCGTATGTCTGATCATCGAAGATGCGCGATGTCTCGCTGTCGATACCACTCGTACCAGTCGTCCGGCTCTTCCAGCGGGTGCCGCCGCTCATCCTCGCCGTTCATGGCAAGCACAAGATCCGGCCAGCAGAGCTGCTCGTCCGGCCGCACGGCGGCAGCGAGACTGCCAACGGACAGCTGCCACCTGCGAGAGGGATCCGAGTAGAAGAGCACATCGTCCATGGGCCAGGTGCGAAGTCGCGACATCATCGGTGCCGTGCCGTACTCCCAGGCCTGCATGAGCTCCCAGTCCTTGTCGCTGTACTCCCACACGTCATCATACACCCGCTGAATTCGCCAGGTCATCTCCCAAACGACATGCGAGAATACGCACTCGGTCCGCATCGACGCGCGATTCTTCCTCGAAGAGACGCATCGAGTCGCTAGCTCGACATGCGTCAAGGGATGCTCGATAAGTTACTAAAGTGAAAGAACACAGCACCTGCGATCCGAAGCCAGGCACAGATACATCCATCTTGCTTGCGTGCATGCAACGTAACAGGCTTTCTGTGTCTGCGCGATGCACGCATCCAAGGGTCGGGATCGAGAACAACGCAGCCCACTGATCTGCGCCCACAGCGAGCACACGAACTGCAGGACAGCGCCTCCTCAAAAGATATCGAGCGACGAGACCAAGACCCGTGTCGGCGCTCACAGCGAGCACGCAAACCACGCGACCGTGACTCGTGAAAAGATATCAAGCGATGAGACCGAAGCCGGCGTGTCGTGGCACCCACAGCGACTACATCGACGATGCAAGACTGCGGCACGACAACCAAATGCGACACGCCAGCGGTAAGAACAAAACTCAAAATCGAACGGCGGACTCACTGCGTTTTCCGCCGCTTGTTGCTGCCATCGGCCAGCTCGTCCCAAGCCTCGCTGTCTCGGGCCGGCGTCGCCATCATCTGGCGAGTGTGCTGGATGCGTCGGTCGGGTGTCCAGTCGTTGTCAAAGGTAAAGACGCGAGCTGTGGACTTATCGCGCGAGTTCACGAGGTGCTGCCAATAGTCTTGCTGTGAGGGAAGTTCCTCCGTCGAGATGCACCGATGAGACTGGGCGATAAACTCTCCCTCGATCGCTGTCTGCGAGAGAACAACCGTGAACACCTCGCCTTCACGAGCCTTGAGAAGCCAAGCCACCATTCCAGGCGAACCTGTGACACACAACTTCACACGATGAGGCTGCGAAGCAGTCGCTGGCGACAACAGGCACTCCACGAAGGCTTTCACTCGCATGGCGGAGTTGTCGCCATCGTGCTGTTGCACTTGCTCATGCTCCGGCGGCTGGTCTTTGCTGTAGCGAATCAGCGCACGAACGGAAGCGGCCGGCCTGCATCTCCTTCACGAGAATCAGACTCAGGTCCGAATCGAAGCTCACATCCCGCAAGGCCACCACGGGACAACCATCACCGCGAGGAATACATGGCTGGGGAAGCCGACAGTGCTCCTTCTCTTGCTTCGCTGGATCGAAGGGTACCATAGCTCGACACACGATCTCCATGACGTTTTGCACGTCATTCTCAGCAAGCCCGACTCGAAGTAACCACGGCCGGGAACGCAAGACCCCATTCAAGCTCCGGCGATGGTCGGGAGTGTCCTGCAAATCCATGGGCATCTGGATGTCGCTCATGGCGAGCGCCTGCATCAACTGATCGTGGTAGACCACCATCGGCGTTTGACAATGGTCATCAGCAAACGTCACCCGCAGAGCCAACCGCTTCGTCGGCGGTGTCGAATGATGCGTTGAATCCTGCCAGTCGGACACCCCGCGGGGACACTGCATGCTGCTAAAACACGAACATGACATCCCGTGGCTTCCTACTCTCCCGGACGGCCCTCCTCCCTTGCGCCTGACAAGGGTGCAAGCGCTTGCACCTGCCGCAGCACGTCAAAACCCAGTCGTCCGTCTCGGTGCGCACCGAGTTCACGCCCACTATCTGCGCATTGAATATCTCGAACACCGTGTCCGACTTCCGCACCGCCCCGGCCACAATCGTACCCTGCAAGGCACTCAAACTGCACGGCACCGCCGCACATCCCAACCAGTCCTTTCCGGGAGTCGATGTCAGCATTTTGCAGGCGACCCCATCCTTCTCCGCGGCGTCGATCTCCCGCTGCCTAACTCGCTAACTGGGCTGCAGTCGATGAAACCAACTCCCGACTCCACCCACACCGACGGGCGCGGGAACGCAAGCACACCAAAGAACTGCAAAAACGATATCAGAAAGAATGCAAGATGGAGACAAAGAGAGAGAGAGAGAGAGAGAGGGAGAGAAAGACAGAAAGAGAGAGAGAGAGAGAGACAGAGAGGGGGCGCAGATGCAGTCAAGCAACACTGTCTCTTTCTGCTTGTCGGTACATTCATGGATCGCAGTCGATGTCCCACTGGTCAACTCCCAGGACTCGTCTCCTCGCTTCGTGCAATAGACCTGCGTAATGTAGACGTAGCTTTCTTCGGAGATTGCGGCGAGCTGCTCTGCCAACTCGCGCCAGAAAGCACAGCGCACTTTCGTCGCACCCTGCTGCACCACGGCATTGCATACCGGGAGTGTTCCCGAAGTAGTGGCTCGTTCGACCACACCGGGATTGTCCACCACTTTGGCCATCACACAGATCTGCTGTCTGTCTGTCACCCGCTGCAAAGCAGCGAGCGGGCACACAGGATGATACGAAGGAATGTCATGCCACTCCCCGTCTTCGACCGCCCGCACCTGAGTGTTCACACCATAAGTTCCTTGCGCGCACAAATAATAGTTCAGCCTGGAGGTGCTGAACGGTGGTCTCTGCTGAATGCACTTGAAGCCGGACAACGCCACCAGGTTGGCATCCTCCAACCTCTTGTCTAGCTTCTCGGCAAGATCGGCCCACGCCTCCACGAAGAGAACTTCACCCATCTGATGGCTTCCTGCCAGATGGACCTCCAGCTTCATCCTGTCCCTGTCCGCCGAAGCAGAGCCCCTTCCGCCTTTGTTTTTGCCCCCGACGGGTCTAGCCGCCGCCTTTGCGGAAGACGGGACCTTCTGAAATTTCTTGAGCACAACTCGTCCGACCACGGCCGTGGCTGCGTCGCCCACGTACTCCGACGGCTTGACGAACATCGACGCGTTCGGAGTCTTCTGAAATGCAGCAAGACGTCTCCGCTCACAGCGAGCAGTCGAACGTCTGCTGCAAAACAGCTGCGGGAGGCGCATGGAACAGCAAAGATCACAGCACGAAACCAATGCAGAGCTCGCACCGAAAACAGAGGAAGAAGCAAAGCAGATTCCACGGCAATGTTTTTTTTGGGGTCTTTCCTCCACGCATCAGAGACCTGCGCGCGGACACGGTCCGTCCACAGCGAACGATCCCGCGACCACACCCCCCAACAAAATTGTTGCGGAATCGCAACTCGACCTAGACTCCGGGAGCAGCGCTAATTCAAAGCGGCATCGCGCACTCAGCCGCGCACGTAGCCACTCACTGAATCCCTGATCTCCGGCACCGGTCCAGGCTGCATGACATAGCCGAGACGGACGGCGATTTCAGCTTCTTCGATGCTGCCCAACACATGGATCGCAGTCGATGTCCCGTTGGTCAACTCCCAGGACTCGTCTCCTCGCTTCGTGCAATAGACCTGCGTAATGTAGACGTAGCTTTCTTCGGAGATTGCGGCGAGCTGCTCTGCCAACTCGCGCCAGAAAGCACAGCGCACTTTCGTCGGACCCTGCTGCACCACGGCATTGCATACCGGGAGTGTTCCCGAAGTAGTGGCTCGTTCGACCACACCGGGATTGTCCACCACTTTGGCCATCACACAGATCTGCTGTCTGTCTGTCACCCGCTGCAAAGCAGCGAGCCGGCACACAGGATGATACGTAGGAATGTCATGCCACTCCCCGTCTTCGACCGACCGCACCTGAGTGTTCACACCATAAGTTCCTTGCGCGCGCAAATAATAGTTCGGCCTGGAGGTGCTGAACGGTGGTCTCTGCTGAATGCACTTGAAGCCGGACAACGCCACCAGGTTGGCATCCTCCAACCTCTTGTCTAGCTTCTCGGCAAGATCGGCCCACGCCTCCACGAAGAGAACTTCACCGATCTGATGGCTTCCTGCCAGATGGACCTCCAGCTTCGTCCTGTCCCTGTCCGCCGAAGCAGAGCCCCTTCCGCCTTTGTTTTTGCCCCCGACGGGTCTAGCCGCCGCCTTTGCGGAAGACGGGACCTTCTGAAATTTCTTGAGCACAACTCGTCCGACCACGGCCGTGGCTGCGTCGCCCACGTACTCCGACGGCTTGACGAACATCGACGCGTTCGGAGTCTTCTGAAATGCAGCAAGACGTCTCCGCTCACAGCGAGCAGTCGAACGTCTGCTGCAAAACAGCTGCGGGAGGCGCATGGAACAGCAAAGATCACAGCACGAAACCAATGCAGAGCTCGCACCGAAAACAGAGGAAGAAGCAAAGCAGATTCCACGGCAATGTTTTTTTTGGGGTCTTTCTCCACGCATCAGAGACTCTGCGCGCGGACACGGTCCGTCCACAGCGAACGATCCCGCGACCACACCCCCCAACAAAATTGTTGCGGAATCGCAACTCGACCTAGACTCCGGGAGCAGCACTAATCCAAAGCGGCATCGCGCACTCAGCCGCGCACCTAGCCACTCACTGAATCCCTGATCTCCGGCACCGGTCCAGGCTGCATGACATAGCCGAGCTTCTTCGATGCGCACCAACAGAAGCTTCATGCGAGTCCGATTCTTCCAGGACAAGTTCACCAGCGCGCTTTGCATGTCCGCATCGGTGTTCTGAACGAAGGCCGCCAGAGAAGACCTGGCACGTCTAGAAGACGCCTCCCGGGGCGAGGCGGCAGCATCCGCTTCGACTGACATCCTTGACGGCCGCTCCACCGAGCTCAGCCAGCTCTTCTCGGATTCGTCTCCGGACCACATGGCGACCACCGCTCCAACCCTGCCGGTCCAGTTGTCTAGCTGTCGAGCCCAGAGATGCCGCAGTCTTGCGCACGCACTCGAAGCGAAATCATGCACAGGTCCCTTTTGGCAGGCAGGCAGCAGGAAACGCGGCCAGATTTCTGATCCAGAGCGAGACGCACACCGCACACAAAGAAACGCGACCCATAAATCCGCTAGAGACCTATCGAAGTCACGTGCTCGCGGGAAGAGTGCCGACACACCCGCTTCGCCACCGCCTGGAGCATAGGACTCGCGAGTCAGCCGCCGTTCGACTGCCCCTCACCTCACGCAAAAGACACAATCCACTCGAGAAACTCGGCACTGAGGTGAAGTCGCAACAAGATAAGAACAGTCGCACTGCCTTGTCACTCGTTTTCTTCTGCAGTTTGCAGTCAATCCACAGCGACTCATTCTGCGGTCGCGCGCTCGTACAAAAACCGACAAGAAAAAGAGTACCAACACACACCCGCCTGGCTTGTTATGGATCGTACCATCGGCCGGTCGACTGCCGTCTGACTGTGGCGCACCTCACACACAAGCGCGATCGACCCAAGAATCTGCACACACGTGAAGCCGCAAAGGTACCAGGGAACTTCCGCTCGCTTGTTTTCTTTCGCAATTTGCAGTCAACCCACAGCGAGTCGTCCTGCAGTCACGCGCTCATACACACAAAAAAAAAGAACACACAATAACTAGCCGCCGCATCGTCCCTCCCTGCTTCAGTCGACGATTTCCGGGGCCACCTCGGTGCGTCGGCTCACGACAGTAGCCGGCGTCGGCGGAGGCGGTCCCGACGGCTTGTATCTTTTTCCATTAAACCAGTAGTAGGAACCCGAAGACGTCCCCCGGAGAACATCGCAGCGAGGCTCTCTGGTAGCGCTCGTCGAGTCAACCGAAGGATCGTCATCTCCCCTGATGGATTCCTGGACTTCCAAGGCCGCATCATATCCACGACGAAACGCCTCGTCGATCTGGTCCTGCGAAACCACAGTGGTCCGGGCGGCTGCTTGGGCTCCTGCGGTCAAACCACGACGATAAGAGCCGTCCATTTCTTTTCGAAGACGTTTGCGACCCTGCTGTTCGTAGTCCCACTCCTGCCAACACGACAAGCAGCAGTGCGCGGCGTGGCCCGGATCATTGCCAAGCGGACATCTGTGGTCGAGCCGACAGCACGTTTGCTCGCCGCACCACTGACAAGTCTGACTACAAAAAAACGGCATCTCACGTGAGATGGCTGCGGCACAAGCAAACACGAATGCTATAGCAACGATTCGCAACTAAACAGTTCTCGTCAACGCAGATCCCTCCAGCCTCCACGTCGTCTTGCACCGCTGGAAACCAAGGCCGCACGGCTTCATTCCTGCCGAGAAGAAACAGTTCCAGCAGGGGCAAGCCAATGCAAACGCCGATGACACGCGTTGCTCCCTCCACTCCTTTTCAGAAATCGAAAAGAACGCATGCGACGTTCCCTATCAGCGGTCAACCCACAGCGAGTCGTCCCGCGCACACTCCTATGCGACATCCCTCGCCAGGAATTCCATCCTCATCAGCAGCACTCCAATAAAGATCCGCAGTTTTGGCACGTCCGTTGTACAGTCAACCCACAGCGAGTCGAACTGCAATAGCTCTTTCTTGCAAAACCTCGCGTCTGCGTAGTTCCTTCAGTTCTAATCAACGATTTCCAACGGCACCGTCGGCGAAGCCGATGCCACCGCCTTGTATCCTTGTCCATTAAAGCAGTAGTCTCGAGGTGGAATCCTTTCAGTTTCGCAGGTCGACGGAGGCTGTCCGGTGTCGGCAGTCGGGGCCACGCCCGGGACGCCAACGATAGAGGAATCCTGTGATGTGCGAGCATCTCCACGACCCCCGATGGAGGCCTCGGCTTCCAAGGCTGCATGATATCCCCGGCGGAACGCCTCGTCGACCTGGTCATGCGAAACCACGGCAGTTCTCGCGGCCGCTTGCGCTCCGGCGGTAAAGCCAAGACGAAAGGAACCGTCGAGTTCCACTCGAAGGCGTTTACGACCCTGCTGTTCGTAGTCCCATTCTTGCCAGCATCGCAAGCAGCAGTGCACGGCATGGCCCGGATCATCCGCAAGCGGAAATCTGTAGTCCAGCCGGCAGCATGTTCCTCCGTCACACCACTGACACCCTTCGCTGCACAACAAGGACATGTTGTGCCATATGGCTGCGGTACAACAAACGGCTGCTCTACAAGTAAAAGGCATCAGGGAACCTTGCTGGACCTTGCAATTCGGCACCCCTCCTTGACGTAACTGCGCCCAGCTCGCAAGGCGTCCTGCACCTTCGGCGGCAAACGGCCTGAGCCACGTCAACGAGAACAAGCTCCGATAGAAGCAAGCCGATACAAACACCTGTAGCACGGTCGAAGTTTTTTTTCGGTTCGAAAGAAAGGCGTATCATCATGTTTGTCAGCAGTCAACCCACAGCGAGTCGTCCTGCATGGAGAGAATCATCTCTCTTTGGACAACCTCGGGACAGTCGACCCACAGCGAGTCGTCCTGTCTACGAGAGGAGCTCCACCGTCATCAGCAGCTGATTCGCAGCACTCATTGTGTTGCCCACGGTCAGTGGACCAGACCAACGGCCCCACGTCACGCCGTGTCGGACCGGCAGAGCCAGGCTGCCATTTGCCAGAAAGCGTTCACGGCCTTCGTGGGTCGTTGTGATCTTCACACCAACGGGCTCCGGCCTCGGTTCAACCGCATTCCCCCCCCCCTTTCCCCCCCGCTTGCCCTTATCGTTCGATCGCGCCCTCCCTCCACCACGCGATACATCCCTGACGAGTGACGTCACGTGGTGTCATCGCGCCACCAGTAATAGCGATCGCGAGCCTGGTCCAGCGTGGGACGCAAAGACAAATGCTCCGTGGCACCCGGCTGCCGACAGCCGACAGCGCGGAATGCTGGTTCCGTCACGAAAGTTCCGCGCCGCCTGAGCTCGAGATTCCGCGAGCTTTCTCGCGTGTTCTCAATGAAAACCAAGCAAGCCCCGGAAGATGTTGATTCGAGTACAACTACCAGTAAGTGCGTGTGTCTACTTTTTTTCATTCCGAGGAAAACTACGCTGGATTACTTTTTTGTGTTCGAGGGTTTGGTTTACTTTTCCCGCTGGGGCGTTTTATGCTTCGTGTCTGTGAGGGTGCATTTCAGATTCCAGGGTCATTCCGGCTGGGTTTGATTGAGTTTATGTATGTATATATATATATATATATATATATAT